TAAAGTCGGTTAAGTGGAACATTGTATCGCCTCATTTGTCGTTATAATTCCCATTTGCACAGACAAAAAGCAGATTTATTACCATCTTAACTCGTGAAGGGTAGAACTAGTTTTGAGAAGGCCTGTCTTGTCATTTCTACTTTGTGGTGAGTTGAGAGCAATTCTGGAGCCAGTTAAATGAAACCGCACAACATGACTCAAGCAGAATTAAGAATACATAAAAATAAACTGCAGGCAATGCTCTAGATTTTCAGCTGAGTCACATTTGCTCCCTCAGCCACGTAATCTAATGAATCCCACCTGGTGGTGTAGGTGGCACGTGTCAGAGTCTCTAACATAATGCTTATGAAGGTCTTTAAGAGCTTTTTTCCCATCAAATTACAGTATATCTTAATTTTTTTCACAGAAGTGCTTCTAGTTACTTGTCTCTGTCTTTATATCATTAGTGGTTGCAAGTTTGCTGTGCAGGTTTTGTACATAAAACAATGATTTTAGATAATCACCCTGCCTAAAACAAGGTATAATGATCTCCTTGCAGTAGGATTTGTGATCGCTCAAGCATCTCCTGAACATCTGAAGACACTTTAAAACAAAATTTGAGTGTTGCTTTTGACTCACTTGATGATCTAAGCTGAGCTACAATATAATGATGGTGTCTAATTATAGGCTGCTTATTTGAAGGCTGCTGGAAAATGCAACGTTAGCTTCTACGCAGGTCTGAGGCTCGGCTCGCATGTGTAACTGTTTGGTCTTATTCAGACGCTCTCACTGGATTCTTGTAAATGACCTCAATATGATACGACTCTGAGCTGAAAAGGAAGGTAGAACACAGCCCTCACTTTTCTGTCAGACTTGAATTCCCTTGTCCAGACTTGATTTATATATATACATAATATATATATTTATGTTGAGTTGAATATATTCACCAAGGGCCTGTAGTTCACAAAAAGAAGCTATAATACTGTATTCTTAGCATATAGTAGGGATTTTATCTTGTAGTTGGTCTAGGTGGAATTACATTTTACCACACTGCAAGGAATCTTGTACCGGTGCTTTGTTTTTACAAAGTATCATGTGTTTTGTGTATAAATCTTAAGAGAATAGTAACTCTACAGCTGTCAAACATAGCCTATGAAGTCAAAAGTACAATATTTCCCACTGAAATGCTGTTGATTAAATGTATAAAGTAACATATCATGGAAATACTTTTGTCAAGGAGCTTAAACATGCCAGGTCAGTTAAACTAAACAAAACTGTGTGTAATAGAAAGCTGCAGTCTGACCTGTCTGAACGTAGAAGCAAATATTTCTCCATGCAATCTCTCATTCAGTATTTCTTTCTATCTTCATATGTGTAGAAACAAACATTTATTTACATTCAATTTCCCCAAAACTTTCTTCTAAATATCATTTACTTCCAATTTTGTTGTTTAAATATTCCCTGTTGAAAACCAGCACTTATCGCTCTTTATATCCATTTTGTTCTTAGAGCCACATCCGAGCCTTGAGTTTTCCATAGACTTTCTTTTGTCGAGCCGTGATGTGATGACATATTTAAAAAAGAGTGTTTTGCCCAAAAATATTTTTCTTATACAAACATGTGACGTAAGCCACTTTCTGGCTTACTGCAATATCGTTTGTCAGCAGAATATTCTCATGTTTACCCAAATCTACAGTCAAGTCAAAGGTCAGAAGAGTAGTGGCGGTGAATAAAGCCCCCCCGCTGGATTGACTCTTTCTGTCTGAGGAGGGGCCTTCTTCTTCTTCAGTATACCACCTTGCTGTTGACACATGACAGCAGAGAGAGTGACGTCTTACAGTGAGCATACCTGCTGAGTGGACAGTCTGGGTCTCTGGGACAGTCATAGCGGGAACATAAAGCACACCTCACATCGCCGTCCAACACAGTCCTGTTGGTGCCTGGGTGTCAGATTCCTCAGGTGGGAAGCACCAAGCCACCGGATAACCCTTTCAAAGCGCCCTGTCTGCAGAGACACAGGTACACACTTACCTTCACGTTATGTATATTTTGCATGTCTGTGTTACATACAGTTTGAACAGGTGGCAAGGTCTGGTTGTCATAAAATAAGATCCATGGAGCCTGTTTGGCACAGAGCTGTGCGTTTTGTCCTGCCTTCCTGGTCATTTTAAATACTTCTTAACTTTGTGTTTTTGTATTATTTGTTGAAATAGTTTACTTGCAGAACACAGGATGAGAATTCACCCCAAAAAAATGGGGTTGTGGTCTGGTCCAAGGGGCCCACGGCTCATTTTTTAGCCCAATTCAAGTTAATACGGCCATGGTAAGAGCCACAAATGCATGCTTTTTTGCTCCTCAACAGCATTCATAAAAGCATTACGAGCTTGTTAGATCTCTTAAAAAAGCTTAAAAGAGTATTATAGCAGTTTTGTAGGCTATATTTACAAAAATATACTTTCATGCTACTTTGAAGTAAATTTACTGTTGGTAATTAAATATCTTGGCGTGACATTTCTCCTTTCTTTTTATGGCTATTTCTGGATGAGCTGCAGTTAATGACTACTAAATAGTGACACTGCATTGAATTTACAGTTCCTAAATCAAAAGCTGGTGTCTAACACGCTCTGCAGATTGAAGAATAGAGGGCACCGACACACTGTGCAGCAGAACTCTGCAGGATGTTACTCTGCTGGGGATACAGGCACAGTTTTCGAAGGGTATTTAAAAAGCCAATAGTTACTGATGTAGAGGAAGTGTTTCTGTCAGCTCCATCACCCTCCTCTTACAGTAGGTGACTGTGCTGCAATATCACCTGCAGCAGCATCAGCAGCAGCATCAGCTGTGTATTGCTGCTGCGCTGACAATGACGCTCAATGCATTTCCCTGTAGGAAAAACAAAGCTCCACATGGGGGTCATCTCTCTTCATTTCCTAGCCTATGACATTGGTTATTTTAGATGTCATCCCTCCCAATCCCCTTTGACAGACAGATCAGTCATTCATAATTAAATCGTTGTTATATGTAGCCGGAGAAGAGAAGAGTTCTCAGGGATTGTCAACCAATTGCAATGCCAAAAGCATAGGCTACTGCAAAAATATTAAATAACCTCCGTCATACAGTAGAGTGCTACCAAAATCACATCACACGTCAATGGTCTCCTGTTGGTTATACTACAGCAACAGTTAGGAAAAACTTCCTTTTGCTAAATGTTGGTGAATACTACTTATGTCAAATATCCATAACTTCACTATTATACAGTGTAGTGCTACCAAAATCACTTTGCACATAAATGTGACTTGCTCTATCGAAATCAGACACATTTTGAGTTGTATACACTGCTGGAAAGAGGAGAATCCTAGCTTTCTAATATCAGGATTGTTTTTGTACTCCAAATATTAAGCAAAATATGTCACATTATATAATGACTGTCACGAGTCATCATTTTGAGAAAAAGGCCTTCAAAGTTTCCTCTTCTCTGGAATCCATCGATCTGATTGATTATTAGCGGCTAATAAATGATCAAAGTAGTACGGAGGGAAAATATTTCGTTTGGATTACTGGTCTGGGGGAAGCTCGCGAGTGTGTGTGTGTGTACGTGTGTGTGTACGTGTGTTTGTGTATTTTTGCGTTTGTGTGTTTTGTGTTTGTTTCCCGTGGAAAACACTCACAAGAAACACCGGCTGTTGTTTTGCCTGCTGTGACATAAAGTTACTCCGTTCTCCGCTTGTAATTATGCCGTTACAAGCTTCAAAGCTGTATTTATCATCTGAATTTGCAGAAATAAATGTAATATTCTGAAAGCCAAGACTTTGTTTATTTGAAATCAGATTAAAACAAACTGTCACGGACCCTGCCGTGTTACCTATGATTACTATACGCCTTACATTCATAATTTCAGCGGGAGGGAGGGGGAGCGGCGCTGCGGAAGAGCAGAGTGCGAGTGAGAGGTGCCTGTCATCTTCAAAAATGTATTTATCGTGTGATTTTGGAAATAAAAGTTTCATATTCTGAAAGCCAAGACTTGTTAATTTAAAATCAAACAAAACACCCGAACCCCGAAAATCCACGTTTATTTTGAAATGAGCTGTTGCGACTTCCGACTGATTTCGATAGAGCGGGTAACAAATGGTCTTCTGCAGGGAAAACTACACCAACAAGTAAGGAAAACATCCTTTTGTATACTGTTGGTTAATATTTCTTGTGGAAAATATTTACCGACTTCACTGTTATACAGTGCATTGCTACCAAAAACTACCCGCGATTTAAATTCACTTCAACATTGTAGACATGCTTACAGAACCAATTTGGGGCTACTGTAGGTATCCTGCACTTTGAACCCCAGATAATCTGATTGGTCGACCCCCATTTACCCCGAGACTGTATATTTATGTTTTGGTTAAATAAAAACCTTAAAAAAGGGAAGTTATTGAAAATAGTTAACCATAAAAATTCACCAAAGCGAGTGTAAAAGGAGCTTGACTTGGGAGCCCCCTCACTGGTGTGAAGCCCTCTGGACCTCTGGCCAGCTCTCCCTGTTGGGGAAGTTTATTGAGTTATTGAATATTTTCCACATGAAGAAATCACCAAAGTTATGCAAAAAATTACTATTTTTGATTAAATGTTGTATTATAACCAATACTAGACCATCAATGTGTGAAGGGATTTTGGTTGCACTTCACAGGGAAGTTATTGAAAATGTTTGCAGTATGCCTATTTTTTTGGCATTGCACTTTGTGGACGGTCCCTGGCACTCATCTCTCCTCCGGCTGCTGATAGATCAATATAAGTTGTCTGACTCGGACAACGGCACGTATTTGCTTGTTTGGATGAAAATGTGGTTGTAGCTAAGGTTTTCAACTTACTACTGTTGTTAAGAGACGAACCTATGAGTCGAATCAGTCAATTTCTTTCTAACGTTACCCATCTCCCCAATGTTGGGTGAAAAAGTGGGCAGTGCAGGATTTCATATCTGGCTTGACTTTCACTCAACTCCCTCCTTTTCTCACCGAGCATCGGAGTGGTTCGGACATCAGTCCAAACTCCCCTCATACCTGCGCACAGACCCTCCCCCCAGCAGGACAGTCGCACTGCAGCACGCTGAGTGGAGCTGACGGAAAATACTTTTAACAGCAGAGAATCCATCCTGTATCAGCTGAAATGCTGCTAAGAAGAAACCGGTATGTATTTTTTTAGATATTTCGTGTTAATGACAAGCAGTTGATGCGGTGTAACTAACTTAAATGTATGCGTAATGATGGGGAAACTGAGGGAAATTAGCCTCTTTACCAGTTTATTGCTTTAGAGTTGCTGTCCTCAGAGGTGGTCCTGAAATGATGGTTAGTAGTTAATTTTATCCCCGGAAAATGTCCTTTCCAGAAACTGACGCACTTAGTTAAGCCTAACTTTCTGCCAATTCGCCTCGTGTTTCCTTTTGTTTGTTTTCACCTTGTTTTAGCATTACCTTTTACCTCTTCCACCTCCTCATCGTCATGATTGTTAAGTGAATTTGAAAACAATATAGTGATTTTTACACAGGTGAGCATTGTACTTTACTGACTGGTCCCTTGCATAAGGCAACACCACTGCAAAGGAATTTTAAAATGCTCCTTTTTCTAAGAGTAAAGCACTGATACTGCTGAGTTTTAGCTCTGAAATTGTATTCTTATGCCCTGAAGAAGAGACACAACAAACAATATTTTTGTTTTAAGTGCACATTATGCCTCTTCTGTTCAATGTCTCCACCTCAGGGTTCAGGGATACTTCCTTAATGGACAGGTACAGATATAGTAAAATAGTGACTTTTAAGGATTCCTCTTGCTTATAGTTCAGAGTCCAGTGGCACTCTGTTCTAAAATAAGCCTGTGAAGCAAAACGAAAGTCAAAGCAATGATATTCCTTCCTTGCAATTTTTTGATCAAAATGTTGACACAATGTTTTTAAAAACCAAATAAAACCTTAATTAGATGGTTCAATGTTGATGCTAAACATTGGCTGTTAAGATAAGTAAAGTGTCAATGATGTCATAACCTCAGCCCTTATTGGAACACTGATTTAAGAGAAGATTTCACACAATTGTTATGAATGTTATAAAAATCAGTAAATTGTCTGCGATGATGTGAAACAAGTTGCACAATAGTGCTTTAACTAATGATTATATTGAATCCACCAATTACTTAACCTTTGATTTATAAAATGACACAAAAGGGTTGGGAAACTACCCATCCCAGTTTCTCAAAAGGTCTTAACGTTTATTTTTTTGACATTCCAAAATCCCCACTTTTTGCATGAAAAATTACCTAAAAGATGAATAGGTTATCTCAATAGTTGCAGATTATTTACTATCAATCAACTAATTTATCAGTCAACTAATCAGTGCAGCTCTAGGGGCAAGGAAACCTACTCCATATTGTGGATAAAGTTGGTAACAATTCCTGTAGAGGAAAACAGGCACTGAGTTATAAGGAATAATTTCTAGCTTCTGAATCGATGCCAACATCTTCCGTTCTTTCCAGTGATTCAATTTTCCCAACAAATGAAGCGATTCAGCCTCATTATCAGGCTAGTCAATATGGTGGTGTGTCTTTGCATGGTACATGAATGGGCTTGCCACACACAGACTGTGGTCAGTCCACAGGTTTGCTGAGTCAGGTCTGAGATTCGTTTGATCCTTCTGGTGAATCATGTGGTGGGTGGGTGGGTGAATTTTCCCCATTGGTCGTCTTGTTTGTGGACAGTCAGATGTCTGCACGGTTAGGAAGGTGGGATTAATCCATCGGATGTGTGGAGGTGTCATGTTTGATGGGGTAATGTTGGAGGAGTGATGTTGAGAGAATAGGACTGAAGATCAGACAGGGACAGCTTACTCTGGAGTTTACAATGTTAAGGGCTGTGGAGATGGCTGTGCAACATATGTGGCAAACATTTTGTCCTTACAAACACTCCAAGCTAGGTCGACTTCTCTTCACCTTTCTGTTGCTAAGTAACCAGGAGAATGCACTCAACATAGATGAGTTTCCCGGAGCTGTTTTTTGGAGGCCAGCTGGGATTGAGACCCTTTTATTGTGTCTTCTTTATACACTTATAATCTGTCCAAGGTGCATTTTTAACATCACTTTGTTGACTGGAGATATAATATCCACCCGCATAGACATAGATGGACAAGAATAAACATTAATCAACTCTAATATGCCGGTTACTATTACAATTCAAATCAAAGACAACTATTTATTAGCTGCGACCATAAGCATGAGCTCTGTCAGTTGGTGTGTGTGTGAATGCTTGACCCAGTGAATGCGTACATACGTAGCAGCAGCTATTGCAAATGTGCATCTGCTTTGGTCTGACGTTCAATATTCAGACTGAAAGACACTGATGTTGGAAGTAAAGTCTTAACAGGAAGGGTGGCAAAAGTTATATTTGTTAAGCCATTTCTGAAAACCTTTGTACGTCATATTTAAAACGCAAGAATACACTCATCAGAAAAAGGGAAAAACCCATCCAGTTCTATCGAAACTTAACTTTGTTGCTAGAGTTTGGATTTAAGGATTCAAGACAGTTATTCCTTTATGAAGTTATCTATATTGCACTTCATTTAGTTTGTATATTTGGTATGAACTCTGTATGTAACCATAGTCTTGAGTCAATAAATCTGAAAAAAATTGGAGGAATAAAGCCTCACTCATGTGGTAGACAGAACCCGGTACTAGAGTGGATTTCTTCTTTTAAAACCCAATTACCCTGTATTTAAGGAAATCCCTGTATTTGATCAGACTCATGACTGCCAAAGCGTTTGACCTGGCTTAAACTGAGATAATTTCCCTGCATGTTGGTGGAGACAGAGTTTGCCTGAGCCGACATTGATGCAGAGCACTGCAGAGACCACCCACAAGATGTAGTGAGCAAGCTTTAGTTGTCACTGCAGCACTGACAGAAAGCTCTGCATCTGGTTTCATGTTCACTATTATTAATTACATTCACATTTAAAGATGACTTCCTTAAAGATATGCTGTAGGCTAAATGTGGTTTTAACTGATGTCAGTCTTCTTTTGCTTACTTGTATGTTTCTGCAGGAGGGGGAGACTGGATTAGCTCTGCTTGTGAATAATGCATTGGCTGCAGTTTCTAGACCTGTATTTGCAGTGGGTGGCATTTATTTTAGCTGGACTTGTCTTCATTGTAACTCTCATTAAAAAGAGCTGAGCTGCAGAGTGGCTGTTGACTGCAAGGCTGAAGACTTTGTGAGAAAAAGTCACAAAATGATCCGAAGCAACCAGGATTTTCTCCTCTGTCATCAATCTGAATGCACAAATTCATACACAAGCCTTCTCTCTCATCAGAAACATTGTGCAGTGTCTTAACGTGTCGTGTTGTACAAAGCTTGCTCCAGAACGGCTCTCAGTGGTTTTCAATTTGCTTTCTTTGAAAAGAGCCAAGAGAAAAAGCAAGCAAGTGTGCCAGTGCCCCGTCCTTTAATTTTCCTCCGAGGGCCTTTTGTAAGGGAGTCGGCCTGAAGTGAAAGCACAGTGTGCAGCTGTCCTCCTGGCCCACTGTTCGCTTTTTGTGAGCCATTTTCTCGTCAAGAATACTAATAGTGATACCAACTCAGTGGAGTCCACCCAGCTGGCTGAGGAAACAGACAACAACTATGCTGCCATCAAAGAAGGACATTTAATCCGACACAAGTTGGAGAGTTGTGTTTGTGCTGATGGGCTTGATATACAGATGCAGAAAAGTGTATCAATTGCTTGTTAAATTGTTGGTTCGCTTCTGCGTTTGGTAATATTAATAGTTTTTTCTTTTTTTATTAGTTGCTTTAACACCATCTATGCTATATGTTTTTCTTTTTAGAAGATTACATGGTGTATGAGTGAGACAACCTTCATCGTATGCCTGTTAAAACTTCATTTCGACATGAAAGAGTGTACTTTTATGATACTTTATGATGAATAACTTATTTTGTGACAGTAAAAAATGAATTTATTTTTACACTTACCTGTGAAAGTTTCTCCAGGTTTTGTAGACCTCTTTTTACATAGGGAAATTATATTAATATCACCACTGCCTATTGATCTACATTTATATTATCATTTAAAATGCTTATTTTTTTCGTGGCTCAATTATAAATGTCATAATAGTCAAAACCATCCCCTCACAACTTCCTAAAGCCCAAGTCAACATCTCGTATAGCTTTTTTTGTCCTTTAATTATTCCAAAGGCAAAGCTGGAACTTGTGAAATTCAGTCATTTTTGCTTAAGAATTGATTTTGATGTCAATAGTTTTCTACCTACGAGTCAATTAACAAAGATTTTAAGTACTTTGGAGCGCTGCTTTTTAAGAAGATTTGCAGCTTCAGCGTGTCTGCCTCAGGAGGTTGTGTGAGGTCACTGGGAGCATCCTGGCATGCCTGCTGGGTTAATAACAGGGCCAGGCTGGTGACAGAGAGCTGGCAGGATGCCGCTGGGCTGAGGCGCCGTGTCATTAGCTCCCGGAGGTGATGAATGGGCTTGTGGTCACCTAGCTTCCCTTTGAAAACCAGAGAAGTTGCTCTTCTATACTTCATAGTTAAGCTTTAAAATGCGCTTTTTAGTGATTATATGCTAGTGTTGTACATCGGTCATTATGATTTTCTACATAAAATAAATGGCTTACAAACATAGCATTACACTGTAACCTTGAATCTGCAGCACAAAGGTGTGCAGGTTTGGTGAGATCAGTGGAACTGAACCAACACAATACATGACTTCCAGTATCAATAATCGCTCAGGCTATTAAAGGTTAAACATGTGTGAAATTGGAAACTGGTAGGGACAAATAATCTGTGATTTTTGTGTCTCAATTTACGACAGGCAAAGACAATGCTTTATTCATCTTTATGTGTGTGATATTTGATCTAATATTAACAATAATATCATCTTGTCTTTTCCTCTTTTTCTCAATAGACATGTCCAAATACTCCCCCTTCTCATTGCAGTCTGCCGCATCACGGTGGCCTTCCCCACACAGACTCCATCTGCCGATGGTACGTCTGTATTTTCTTCCATTATCTCTTGCTTTCAGTATACATTCACATACGACTTTAAGAATACAAGGTTCAAGGTTCAAGGTTCTTTATTTAGTCATACGAACATAGCTACAGTGTAGTTATGCCGATGAAAATCTTAGGTCACAGGCTACAAAGACAGTTCTAGGTTTTTTACGCTCTCTATACTTTTTTTCCCTCCTGCAGATAATGTCCAGCAGCTCCAGGTGAACATCCCGGACTCAGGTCCCATTTCCGCCCCACTGGGCAGCTCCATCTCCATCCCCTGCCTGGTGTCCCTGTCCTCGTCCTCCCCTGCTGCACCGCGGGTTAAGTGGACTGTGGTGTCCGGCGGGGTGGAGACACAGATCTTGGTGGCGCGGGGTCAAAGGGTGAAGGTCAACGAGGCGTTCCGAGATCGCGCTGCCTGGCTGAACTACACCTCCTCCCCCGAAGATCTGTCGCTGTGGTTGGGAGATTTACGCTCCAGTGACTCTGGTTTTTATCGCTGCGAGGTGCAGCAGGGCCTGGAGGACGCCAGTGACATTGTACAACTCAAGGTCAAAGGTAACAAAATGCAAGATGTGGTTTATCACTGAAGTTATGGCGATATTATTAAATAAATGTAAAATAAACTTTCATTGGTAAAACACTTATATATAAAGAATGTAGAACTGAATTTGAATACACATTGGTGGTGCTTTTTAGATCTTTTTAGGTGTACTGTGTTTCTTTATGTTGTAAAGGAGGGATCGTGGATAGGATATGATAAAAAAACAAAAAATGCAAGTCCCATTTTCATTTTATTTTTTGAGGGGACTTGCACTTATGCTTTTCAGACCACATTCCACCCATGCAATGATCCCTTCACAAGATGGAATAAATATATGCTTATATGTGTGTTTATCTGCCTTTGTGTGTGTTTTTAGGTGTGGTATTCCACTACAGAGATGCTTTGGGCCGCTATGCGTTTTCCTTCCATCAGGCCCAGAGGGCTTGTGAGGCCATTGGAGCTCAAATCACAACTCCTGACCAGCTGCTGGCTGCTTATTATGACGGCTACGAGCAGTGTGATGCAGGCTGGCTGGCAGACCAGTCTGTCAGGTACCTTTACCTCTCGTTCTGCGTTTTTGTACATTACATTTTTTAACCATTGTTTGGTGCCTACACTCAGTAAAGCATTCATGCTTAAATGGCTGCACATCTATTTCTGCAGGTACCCAATCCAAGTGCCCCGTGAAGGTTGTTATGGAGACATGGATGGCCAACCAGGCGTGAGAAACTATGGGACAATGAATCCAGATCATCTTTTTGATGCTTATTGTTATTTGGAGGAATCTGATGGTATGAATAAAACTACCTTTTTCTAAAGCCCGAGCTGTACTGCATATATTTAGGCCAATTATAATATATTTAATATGAATAATAAAATAATATTGAGATCAATATTTGAAAAAAGAAACAATACATCTGCCATCGGTTATTAAAACAAAGTTGCATCATGCTTAGAATTAGCTATTCAGTTAATCCAATGTGCCAGTTTGAACATATCTACATATAATCATGAGAAAATAAATGAATTACGTATTTCTCATACAATCAAATGAGCTGATAAGGATACATATTTTGTGTTTGCAGGGGAGGTTTTTCATGACCCCATCCCTCAGCAGTTGTCATTTGATGAGGCGCAGTCGTACTGCAGAGCGGCGGGAGCGGAGCTGGCTTCAACAGCGCAGCTGTACTTGGCCTGGACTGAAGGTCTGGACCGCTGCAGCCCTGGCTGGCTGGCTGATGGCAGTGTGCGCTATCCCATCATAACCCCCAGAGAGCGCTGCGGAGGGCCTCAGCCAGGCGTCAAAACTGTCTATCGCTTCAGCAACCAAACTGGCTTCCCCGAGCCATCCAGCCTCCATGACGTATACTGTTTCAGAGGTGAGTATTTTGTGCCTGAAAATATCTTAAATTAGAATTAAATGTTCATGTCAAAAACACATTGGATAAAAACTGTTAATTGAAATCAAATAACCATTTTTATATTTGTTAAATTAAACTTGTAATCACTTGTCTGACCTTTACAGATAATATCAATTCTCGCACTGACTCTCCCGCGGGCTACATGGCCACTCAGCCTGAGGTCATTGGACAAGATGTGGTTATTCTTATGGAAAAGGATCGTGAGCTTCAACTGAACCAACGGGCAGAACAGGTGGAGCTCAAAGCCCAAACTGTGGTTGAATCGTTCCCCTTTTTCTCCAGCTCTTTCACAGAGGAAAACCTTGTTGACACACATCAAACAATTATATCAGACACAACACAGTCTCCTCTCAACATCACACCTACATTGGACCTCCTCGAGGCAATGAATGAAACTTTATCTCCCACAGAAAGGAGCTCACAGCATCCTACAGCACTGATAAATAGCACATTCAGCACCACAGAAACCTATAGTTCCCCGCAAAACATGTCCTTCCTGCTTGATATTCACAACGAGACAGATTCCCACCACAACTTAAACTTCACCTTTGACGAATCTGAGCCTGAAAACACCACAGGGTTTCCCGAATCATCATATGAACCTCCCACTTATAATCAGACAGTTCTAGACACAACTCCCAAAGACAACACATCTGAGAGGTCAGAGGATTCCCACAAAATACAAGACGCCAGTTTGGATTTTAACAGATCGCAAGCCAACTACAGCGAGACAGAAAGGAATCATACCCGAGGAGAGAGTTCCTGGGAGGTGATCTCTGTCACACTTGACCCCGTGGTTCAGGTGAAGCTGGACAAGGCGGAGGTAGAAGATTCTGTGCAAATGTTTGTCTCAACTCAGGCCTCAAAAGAAGAAGGAATACGTGTTACCCAACCAGCTCAAACTACCAAAATGTCCATGAAGGAGCTTTCCTCGTCAGACTACCTGGATGGGTCTGGAGATATTTCTCAAGGTATGTTAGGCATAGATGTGAATTGATTGGGCTGCGGTGGTGTAGTCAAATTTGATCTCAAGTATTTTCCTGATGTCAAGGGAAAACAGCATGAGTTCAAGGGGAAACAAATCAGTATAAGACAACTGCAGTGCTTTTGGGAAGTAATTAGCATTTTTGAGTAATATGAGAAGACTTTTTAAAACAAATTAACATAATGTGTTATTAGTGAGCGTAATAGGTGCTGGAAGGCATATTTTGACAAAGCTAGGCTAGCGGTTGTAGCTTCATATTTACATGAATGTATCCATATCTAACTCTCATCAATTAAGCAAATAAGAGGCTTTCCCAAGATGGTGAAGTCTTCTATTATTAGATACATTTACACAACACAGTCTCACGGCATTTCGTGTTATAGTCACGAAATTAATCTATTGATTCGTGTTCACCAACACGATTTCGCCATTTTTTTCGTGTCACACAGAACGATTTTAAAAGCAATGTAAATAATAACAAATTAGAAGGAAAAAGACATTTAAAAAAATACAGATTTAAGTATTCTGACACAGAACGATTTTAGAAGCAATGTATTTATATTGGTAGTATGTTTCGTGCCTGCACCAAATAATAACAAATTAGAAGGAAAAAAAGATGACATAAAATACAGATTTCAGTATTCTGAGGCTCTGAGCCCCATTTCTTTTCCTCACTGACGGCAAAAAAACTCAGACATTATACAATTTAAAATAAAAGGGATAGGGTTAGGCTTAGGGTAAGATATTGAGTAAGAACATCTTTTTATGAACCACACAGCTTCTGGTCTTCCAAGACCCGACCGGACAAAAAGACGTGTTGCAGGCACGAAACATACTACCAATAGAAATACATTGCATTTAAAATCGTTCTGTGTGACACGAAAAAAAAGTGAAAATCGTGTTGGTGAACACGAATCAATAGATTAAATTAATTTTGTGACTAATAACACGAAATGCCGTAAGACTGGGTTGATTTACAGCACTAAAAATGTGTTTATGCTCTTTTCTAGAGAGACACAAGGACGTCGAAGCAGGAAGCTTCATCCCCACATCAGAGTCTTTCACTTCCAGCTTCACCACTCATCCGTCCTCTTCTGCTTCGGCTAGCAGTGCTTCAGCCGAGCCTCAGACTGCACTCACAGAACCAACCCTCTCATTTGGGTCACGTCATTCTGACAAACTTGGCTTTGATATCCTCTCCACAGCACCACAGCTGTGGGAGTCCTCGATTTCTAGACAAGAGGGAAGTACAAGCTTAGAAATTGAAGACACAGTGACTCTGGAAAGTGAAGGAAAACAGCTGCACCCAACAACATCTGAATACCACCCTGTTTCTGGAATAAGTTTAGCAATCACTGAATCTCCAGAGGGGTCAAACAGTTCTCAGATGCCTACTGATTACTCCACTGTACAGTATGAAACATCAGGTTACAGAGTGTATTCAGATGCTACAACAACCAATGAGTATGAAGAGGCAAGTGGAGATGAACTTCCTACAGTTACTGCAACCTTGGAAGAAACAGTTAAAGTTGCACCAACTGTTGGAAAAAATGTTAGCCAAATCGTTGTAGAAGAAAATAAAGTTAACCAAACTCTTTGGGAGGTAGTTAAAGTTGCCTCAACCCTTAAAGGAGAAGTAGTTTTCCCAACTCTTGAAGAGGAGGATGAAGTTTCATTTTTGCCAGAAGAGGAAGTGATTGCCCCGACCCTTGCCTTTCAAACAGATGCTTACCTCGCCACAACTCTTGAAGAAGGTAGTGCTGGACCATACCTTGAAAAAGAAGCTAATGTTTCCCCAGTTCTTGAAAAAAAGTTTAACGTCACTTTAACCTTTGTGGAACAAGCCAGAATTGCTTCAAGCCATGAAGAAGAAGCTAGCAAGGGCCCAACCCTTGAAGAAGAAGCTAGCAATGGCCCAACCCTTGAAGAAGAAGCTAGCAAGGGCCCAACCCTTGAAGAAGAAGCTAGCAATGGCCCAACCCTTGAAGAAGAAGCTAGCAAGGGCCCAACCCTTGAAGAAGAAGCTAGCAATGGCCCAACCCTTGAAGAAGAAGCTAGCAAGGGCCCAACCCTTGAAGAAGCTAGCATTGGCCCAACCCTTGAAGACGAAGCTAGCATTGGCCCAACCCTTGAAGAAGAAGCTAGCAATGGCCCAACCCTTGAAGAAGAAGCTAGCAAGGGCCCAACCCTTGAAGAAGAAGCTAACATTGGCCCAACCCTTGAAGACGAAGCTAGCATTGGCCCAACCCTTGAAGAAGAAGCTAGCAAGGGCCCAACCCTTGAAGAAGAAGCTAGCAATGGCCCAACCCTTGAAGAAGAAGCTAGCAATGGCCCAACCCTTGAAGAAGAAGCTAGCAATGGCCCAACCCTTGAAGAAGAATCTAACATTGCCCCAACTTTTGACCCAGACTTTACTGTCTTTACTCTCGATTCACAAACATCTGACTGGGCTCTGCTAACCACCACAACAGGACCCCAAGAGTCCCTGAAAGATCTGGAGTACAGCAGAAAAAACACCCCTATAACCTCCACAACAGCTCCAGAATCCTCTTCAAGTACAAAACCCACAGCTGCTTCTACAAAGATGACCAGCACCACCATCAGGACCACCACACACTGGTCCAGACGCACCTGGAGCCCGACCACCTCAGCACCAAATGCTTTCCACAAGACGGCTGAGCCCCAGAAGGAGACCAGCTTCATACCGCCAGTGGGACAAGGTCTGGTGGATGCTGAATTTAGTCTCACCCAGCCGCCCACTCTGCTTAACTTGCCCAATGAGAGGGCAGCTGTAGGCGGTGCAGGGAAAGCTTCAGGTAATGTTAAAGCCACTCTTATCAGCCTAACCGTCCTCCTCTTGCTACTCAACGAATTGATGCACTAAAATCCCCGATCTGTCCTCAACCTAGCTTTGCTTCATTTTCTGTAAAACACCTCCCCTCCTTTTTCAAATGACTTCCCACGTATGTTTAACTTGTTGTTTCAAAAAGCCCTTACCCTTCTGACTCCTCCCGCTTCACCTTAAACGCTCCTCCCTTCTCTCCTTGTGATCACACCTCCCCTCCAAGATACTCACTCTGGGAGGGCTCCCATTTGACTTTGGTCAACAGCCCATTCTTGTTGTGCATGATAATTTCTTCCTCATCCGAAGATTGACTTCTGTGAAGTACTGTAAAATACTGGTTTGTTTATGAAAGAATGATTCAGTGCTTCTTCTACAATTATTGACTAAGAGTGATGGTGGTAGCCTTGGTATTCCTCTCTTGATCAGTGGATTTTATAAGCAAATAGTACATCTCTGCAATTGAAAAGTGCAGATGGTTATCTTCCGCAGCTTCTCACTAACTTGCAGTGTCTTTTGCAGTAATCTGGAAGTAACTTGATAATGAGACTTTTATCTGGATTGTAATGGAAATAATGTTGAATGCAACAGATCTGACCATTGCAACAGCACTACTGTTTTATATTTAATCCATAAATCTACATTGTTAAAACGGTATGCTTTTGTCACATTTTTAGACTTCATTGCTATTTTAGACAGTTCCAGAAGCACAGTGTTATTATGTTTATAAGCACAAATATTGTTCACTGTTGATTTGTTGTAAGTGGTAACATTTAGCCATATGTTTTCTAATGTTTATTTTGTATAGCTCATTAATGTTTCATACTGAATTCATGTTCTTTTATTTAATCACAATCTTCCAATGTTTGTACAGTTCTGTGCTTTAGGTGTAAGAACGATAAAATCAACTAATCTAAGTTTGCTTCCCGTCTCACCATCAGATCCTTTATTAAGTTTTCCTTCAGTTTTTGTTGATTTGCTGGAAAAGGTTTTCTTTATTTTTTTGCATTTTATGGGAGCCAATTTCTGCCAAGAAAAGCTTAAAAAACATACATTTAGACTATGAAAAAAGATAAAGGTAAGTCAATTTAAGGATTTAAAGTTTTGACTAATTTTCTTATAATATATATATATACGTATATTATTGTGATCCATCATATTTTAAATAATTTATTTTGCACAAATTGTTATCTTTTTTGGCAGACATTGGCGTCCGTATAATTTTGCACAAATCCAGCGAATTGCCTTTTAACACAGTGAGCAGTTGCAAGACTAATTTTTTATTCAGAAAACAAGACGAGGCCAGCCCATCTTATTATTGGAAAGCTTTTCTCAGCATAGTGCATACAGCACCAGAACAGCACTTTTAATGATGCATCAACAAACTAGATGACGCTGCATACAGCTACATTCATATTTGCAGAGCTATTTCAATTGGTCTCCAGCATCACAATCATTTTTTTATGGCCAATTCTGTCTTGTCAACTGCTTAACATTTTCAAGTCAGCTTTATTTGTTTGTGATAGTTGACAGTCCCTGAGCAACAGCACATTTGTATTACAAATTAAGATGTGGTATCTAGAAATATGAGTTAGTTAGAGTTTTGTCTAATCAGAAATAGAGGACCAAAGAGAAAAATTCATTAGAAATGGAATTACTGGATATATTTGTATTTAACAGGGTCAAATTACTCTGCATTATTCTCACAAGGTTGTGCTGCTGTTTTTCAAATGGATCCAGATTTGCTGAATGATCTCACATTTTAACTCAAGACTAATAATGAGGTTGGTAGGTGCTGCATCTTTTTCCTGTACTAGAATGCTAGTAGTCATGGTGATGAGAGATCAGATTTAAAAAAAGCATCCACGTAAATATTCATTTCATGGAACAAGCTATCAGACAGCACCAGAAAGCTTGCATTACTTGTTGCAGGGCCCAGAGCATGCAGATGCTTTAGATATGTTTCCACTTTATCTCAGTTACAGAGCCTCTTTTTAGCCTTACTTTGGTGCACAGTGATGATTACATACTGATGTATTCATGGCATTAAAAGACTGCAGACTCAGCTGTTTAAGACAGTGGGAAAGCGACCAATCACTGTATGTGATAAATAAATTCACCTTATTACCTACAGACCATTTATTGTTGTGTGTTTGAGGAAAACTACACAAACACAGAGAAATCATGCAGACTGATCACACAAATGGCTGAGAATTAAACCTAGGTCTGTGTTCAAAAGAGGTGCCAACATGGATACATATCTGCCGTTGTTTATTTTTCTGCAAAACGTAATGATGGTTTAACTTTAAGATGCACATGATAATGATTTGACTTGTCTTAAACAGTTATTAACTCCTACACACACACACACACACACACACACACACACACACACACACACACACACACACACACACACACACACACACACACACACACACACACACACACACACACACACACACACACACACACACACTGATGCAAAGGCATGTTGTGAGTGTGCAGTATAATCAGTATAATGACAGACACCACAAAGCTCTTGCTTACAGGGTGTCAAAGGAAGTAAATAAACCATATTCACTTGTTTAATTTGAGTTTGAAATAACGCATGCCTCTATCTTGCCTTCTTTTACAAATTTAGAAAATTAACTCCAACCCCTCCTTTTCTCCAGGATTTTTAACTGCTAGAGGTTTTTTGTAATTACCACCTTTTTACAGGGACACTTTTCCTAGGGTAAAAACAGCTCTCTTGTGCAGAGTTTGACTAAATAAAGTCACATTAACAAGAGTACATTTTCCAAATAGGTCAGCACAAAGACTTGAATTTAAGTTTTATGAGAAATGACATTATGTGACTTATTGATAGATTTTCCCCTATGTCTTTATGAAATCTGTTGAATAATCTATATAATAATCAATTTCTATACTCTTTTTACCTCAACTTCAATTCTGAACAATGGCCCTATGCAAGCATTTTTTTAATTTAGCATTTGGCGTCCTTAAGACTACAGATTCTAAGTAGCATTTCAAAGGTTTCTTGATAATGATGATTGTAAAAGGAAGAAAACAAAAAAAGAAAGTCTCCGACGTCAGATATGCACCAAAGAAGACAGAAGAGGACCTGAGGAGTTTGACCTCATTTGACTCTCTGAAGTGTGTCCTCTGCTGCCATCTGTAGGCTCAGGTGCAGGTGGATTCTGGTACCTCAACGTGCCCCTTTAGTGGCCTGTAAATGCCACTATCCTTATACTATATTTCTGTAAATGTGTGAGAGATTCCTTTGCATCCTCAACATGTATTCCTCATTCCTTGAATGCTTTGATACAGCAAACCAATTTTTGTCCTTATAGTTATTCTCGCAAAAACGTCTGTTTTTTCTAGATGTCTGTGTGGAAGACCCTTGTCTCAACGGTGGCACCTGTACTGACCGAGGGGGGCAGATTCAATGTCTATGTTTGCCAACATATGGAGGAGACTTCTGTCAGACTGGTGAGCTGTCTAGAAATGGTTCTTGTCATGTCTGTCAAACAAGTTTGGAAGATCCTGGCTCCTTCATAAAACATTTTAAATGGCTGATGTTGTCTTCTCTTCTCTAATGTTTGCAGACCTGGAGCATTGTGAACCGGGTTGGGATAAGTTTCATGGTTTCTGCTACCGACACTTCGGCCAGCGTCTGAGCTGGCAGGTGGCGGAGCTGCACTGCCGCATGCTGGGAGCTCATCTGGTGTCCATCATAACTCCAGAGGAACAGAGCTACATCAACGGTACATTCCACAATGTGGCTTTCACCTTTCATGTGTTTATTACATGTATGTTGACGACTGAAAGAAAATGCTTTTTTGTCCTCCCCAGACAACTACAAAGAATACCAGTGGACCGGTTTGAATGATAAGACGATTGAGGATGATTTCCGCTGGTCCGATGGTAACCCACTGGTGAGGATGATGATGATACTTTATTGTCAGATCAAGTCTGTTTTTTTGCTCCATTTGAAAAAACAAGACATAAATGAGGAGATAGACAAGGAGACATAACATTACATATCCAAAGACAAAACAATATTCTATAATCCAGCACAGGGGTGTAATTTCCAAACATTGTTTTATTAATAATAACATTTTTTAAAGGAGCATTTCACTGAAATACAAATTAAGAGCTTACATTATTGAAAGGGCTGTGCTACTTATTATTAAAAAAGGGAATAAGGGAAACCATATTTTTAATGTGATTGAGTTCTCCATGTAATGATTATTATTTCTTTAAATGCAGTTGGAAAAAAGAAATGACTTAAGTCTCTTCTCTCCATGCTTACAGCTGTATGAGAACTGGTACAAAGGTCAGCCGGACAGCTACTTCCTGTCTGGTGAAGACTGTGTAGTGATGGTGTGGCACGATGACGGACGCTGGAGTGATGTACCCTGCAACTATCACCTCGCTTACACCTGCAAGAAAGGCACCTGTGAGTAATAGTACAGACATTCAGAGCTGCTCATTAATGTTTTCAACTCCCTCATGTGGTTGTTTTGTGTCGTTACACCATCATACACGCATCAGGCCAAATTACTAGTCTGAACTCTTCCAACAGCCTCATGTGGTCCACCACCCAAGGTCCGAAACGCATCCATCTTTGGAAAAGTTCGACAGAAATATGAGACTGACGCAGTTGTGCGTTTTCACTGCGCTGAGGGTTTCCAGCAGAGGCTAAATCCTCTGATCAGGTGTTTGTCTGGAGGGAGGTGGGAGAGGCCCCACATCCTGTGCATCCCAGGTAAGATTACCATAACTATCACAAAATAATCTGTATTTCTTTATAAATGTAAGTCTTGGTCAGAGATGAAGTGACACAGGCTGTTGCACTTTATCTGACAAAATAGTATCAGTATATCTCAGCATTTAATCAATAGTATTACTATTGTTTTATTCCTCTGTGCCATAGAGCTTTTGTCTATAAAAGCACATCCGTACTGGCACCAAACGTCTGTACTGGCTGACTTTGCCTTCACAACCAAGCACTGAAATGTATTTTGAATAGACTTAGGAATCAGACATAGACAAACATTGTAAACATTTTCATTGTTGACAAAGCATGCAATATAAAAAAATGTTTGACAGCCTTATCCCTTAAATCACTCCTGCACATAACCTCTGAATTACCTTTCAGAGGCCGGAGGTCCAACCCAGCATCTTGAAGTGACGTCACAGAGCAGCAGCAACTCTGCAGCTATTAAAGACTTTGAGGAGTTTGAAGCCACTAAAGAGACACCACAGTACTGGGAAATCAAGTTTTAAAAGTCAGCAATGCTTTTTCCTCCTGGTCTCCTTCTCCTTCCTCCCTTCCTGGTTTCTCAAACTCTGCTGTTGTAACATGAAAAGGTGCCAAGAATCAAATGCTTTTTACCAATGAACGCTTTAAACAGGACAAAACGTTGTTACAGAACGGTAACAAAATATACAAACTGAAAAGAAGCCTGAGTGCTAAGAAAGGCTTTTTAAACGTTCCTACTTTTTCATGTCCTTTAAAATATTTCTACTGTATTTTTGTGTAATGTAGTGATAAGCAGAGTAAAAAATAAGTAAAGTAGGAAGAATGAAAGCTGAAATACAGTAAATGTGGAACTCCAAATTACTGTCAGCTCCAAATTACAGTAAGGATGGTCCTTTGTGGTTTTTGTTATATCAGGAACCTTTTTTTATAAAATGGTGCTAATGTCTTTAGAACCTTTTTCTCTCAATCTTAACAAAATATTGAATAAGTACTGTACATATATTCGTTTTTTTTCACCTGTGATTATTGCTGTCCCAAATCTGCTGAGGGAAACCATTTTTTATTTCCAGCGGACGCAGTTTTGTTCGTCAGCTTTATGTTGTAATAAAGTTTTGTAGAACAGAGCAAAGATTAAATCGTCTTATTCTACCTGAGCACTGTGAGTGAGTTTTTTTCCTATATATTGGGGCATCTCAAGAAAGAAAGGGTGACATAAACAGAAGGATTCTGGTGAAGTTATTAAGGAAGAGTGTTATTAAACAAATAAAACTCATTGGTTGCATCAACTAGACCCTGCCCTCTCCTCATGCTGGAACACAAGGTTTAGGGTAAGTTGTGTCTCAGTCATAAGGGGTTTGTAAGTTGTAACTTTAATAAAATGATTGTTTGCAGTGGTCTGAGTACTGTTACAGTTCAAGTGTGAAGTACCTAACTCTAGTATTTCTATTTTTTGGTACTTCAAACCTCTACTCCACCATAAAATACTCATTTTTTTAACTGCACTACATTTACCAACAAACAACAAACTACAACTATATAACAAATATTAGGTACAACATAAATAACAGTATATATATTAAATGTAATACATTGGAGGGGGTGCATTGTAAGTACATTTACTTTAGACCCTTAAAGTACAATTTGCTGCAAATACTACTACTACTAATAAACGATTTAATAAAACCATTAAAAACGTAATACATGTATTCAAACAAATTCTTAGTTTTAATTTAAAAAAAGAAAATAATTAGTAGAGGTGTTCTTTGGTAAAGATTTCATTTCTGCATTATTAATACATAAGCTACAAATAGGCTTCAACAACAACCGGAATACATTAAAAGTAAGGTGACCAGTAATTGTGCGCACGCGCGGCTTCACCTGCATACAGTATAAGCCTGAAACATGATGCGTCACGGTTTCGTCACTCGGCCCCAAAAAAAAGGAAGTTGGAGAGAAAAACAGGAGAAACACAGAAAGTAAGTGTTGAGTTTGAAAATGTGTGTTTCTTGAATGTAAAGTTTCAAATTGTACATCCGGGAAACCGTCAGTAATAAAGTAGAGGGCAGTTGTTAATCTAAACACATGTGTTTGTGCTCACGTGATCTCTGTACCTGCGGCAGGTGACTGAGCTAGCTTCACAAAATACTGATGTTGTTTCTTCAGGTCATTTATTTTGTCACAAAAACAAGATGGTTAATATAGAAAAATGTATACTTCACACAGCCTACATTGCAGTGTTTAAATGTGTAGTCGTAACTAAGCAGGTGAAAATCCAAATAACGCACTTAAACTATATTTCGATAGTATGCTGTTTCAGGTCTACTGCACTACGCCCACTATCTCAGGGGAAAATATTAAATAATATTATTCTGAAACGGGCCATTTAAACAGAGCATTTCCCATATGGTTGCCTGGTTACCACTTCATTTAATTATCAGTTTATAATCTATTATAATAAAACCAGCAGTTTGTGCACAACTTTTTTGACTTAGACTGAAAAGTCTCTGCAATAACAGCAGCCTAAGTTTTCCCGCCGGCAGGGGGCATCATTGTCTCGTGATTCGTTGAAACTGTAGATGGCAGTATGTCAGGGAAGAGTGTTTGATATCACAGAGGAGACCATACAAAAATATTTGGATCAACACCATGTCAAAACAGTAGAAATGCTGAAACAAACAAAGCTGCTACCAAGAATTGTAGCTTATGGATGAACAATGGCAAATGGGTTACCAGGTTATTTTGAGGAAAGATTTGTGTTGTGTCTGTACTTTGATCTTATTCAGCTTTGACTCTTCTTACTGCTTGCTGTATATTACCAATCCATGCAATCACTCTCTTATAATTATATTATAGTTGCCAACACTTTCCATATCAATTTTGAAAGTATCTTTCAGAAAGAAAGATGAGGAAGATCTCTCTATTTTGTAAGAGACATGCAATATTTTACATTTTAAACGTTAAAGTAGCCTTATTTTGACTAGATAAAAAAAAAGTGTTTGTTCTTTGCAAAACTAACATTTGCAGCTTTATGAAAATATACAGCCTACAACCTACAAAGGTTACCTTTGGTAGATGTAAACATTTTTCCTCTAAATTATTCTGTGACCCTATTAATCTAATTTTATATAAATTGATCAGCAAATAAAACAATATATTTTCAAATAATCAATGATTCATTTAGCAATGGTTATTAAGTGAAAATGCCATCCTCTGCTTTCTTTCTTGTTAGCTTCCTCCATGTTGCATGGCAACGTTTCTAAAATAGCTAGACAAAACAAACTCTGGCCTTTTAACGTGTTACGTTATCTTAAGGCCAACGTAGTTCTCTGACTACTTGTTTATCTGCTGCAATGGCTGCTGCTTCTTATTTGGTGTTAGGGTAAGGATGACCTCTGACCCCGGCTTAAAACGTGAAAGATACCGTCACTAACACTGTTTTTCCCTTGGCGCGTTGTTAGAGAAGTATTTTAAGGGAAGGGTTTCAGTTAGGATCTGCACCTGCCATGCTTGATGCTGGTACACTGTTCCTTTAAACGCTGTACTTGAGTAAACAGACTTAATTTCATTCCACCACTGGTTCAGTGTAATGTTGGAATTACTATATAGTCAGTTTAGTATCAGCATTAAATAGGAAAATAATGTAAAAAATGAAATGTTCCCTCATTAATATTCTGTATGTGTGACAATTCAAAGACATGGTACAAGAAAGCTCTTCTTCTTCTTCCCAGCAATGGGCCTTTGAGCAAGGCATTTTCCCAGAAACAGATCCACATGCATTAGTGATGCTCAGTGGCCAAAAATACAGGATTATAGTTCCCCGGGAGGCTCCCCTGGTGTGCAGTATGTGTGCAACCTTTCTTCCTTCTGGTCCAGCTCAATTAAAATGGACCGATCCACATTATCGAACCTGATCAGAGAGTAAATTCAGGGTTGAATTCATAGAGCTGGGCAGACCTTCAGAGAGGTGTTGGAGCAGGACCCCTGTTCTCATGCCTTGAATAGCGTCACGCTGCTCGGCCTGAATGCATAGGGTGGCAGTCCAGCCCCTTCATCACAGAGGTGATAACACAGCTCCAGATGGGGGCGTATTGTGGCCTGTGACCCGGGGTCACGGGGTCACAGCAGAGTGAACAGAGGCCAGTCGTTAAGGACTCCTCACGGAGTTCCTCTTTCTTCCAAAGGACGCGTGGCTCACTAATTGAGGGCCACCTCCCCAAACCCCAAGTGCGAGGTCCTTGACACCCGAAAATGACCGCTGGTGTGACCTGCAGGGGGAAGAGGGAAGTGCAAAGTGTTTTAGCCGTGTGCTGTTAGAGCTGCAGCTAATGCTGTGTGCCAGTGTTGATTATTTATTGATGATATCCTTTTTTTTTTCTTATTATTGGAAATTTGTAAATTATATTTTATCATAGAAAATAAGTTGTGTGGTTGAGTCTTAGATTGGAACTATTAATGATATTTTATTTATCAATTAAAGGTGGGGTAGGTACGTTTGAGAAACCGGCTCGAGATACACTTTTTGTTATATTCCATGGAATGCTCTTAACATCCCGATAGCAATGAATATCTTAAGTGCTTTGAAAAAAAATCCATAAAAAAATGTCATCTGTGGAAGCTGTAGTACTGTAAAAACTACGACCAATTATTTTAGCTGGGCCGGCTAAAATAACTGGATGGCCTACCTGCCTGTCAGCCTTCCATCTGTGCACAAACTTATCTCGTGCCCTCATTGGTCATGTGCGCGTTTGTGTGTGTTGGAGGAGGGGCTCTATAAGGAAGTGGCAGATTTTCTCCGGTTGTGTATTTTCAAATTCTAGCGATCTCGAGCCGGTTTCTCAAACTTACCTACCCCACCTTTAACTGCAAGACAGTTTTTTATACAACTTTGACTTTTAAAAGTAAAAAATGCCTAAAAAGTGCACAAAACCCTAAATGTTACTTCAGATTGCTTCATTTCATTTCATTTCACACCTTTATTTATCCAGGTTGTATCCCATTGAGATCATTGATCTCTTTTTCAAGGGAGACCTGCTCAAGTAGGTTCCACATGAAACATTAAAAACATAAACAGAACAACAAAAGGACATCATACAGTAGCATTACAGGGATTACAATTGACATACTATCCACATGCACAGGTACCAACAGCTTCCGATTCAGTAGCATCCAACCGAGCTTTAAAAACATTTAGTGGCACCAGATTGCTCAGTTTCCATTTTAATTGCAGACTATTCCAAGACAGTGGAGCTGCACATCTAAATGCTATTTTCCCTAAGACAGTCCTAGCAGTTGGCACATTTAATAAAACCTTACCAACAGTCCAGCACCCAAATATATTCAATTTTGATTCATATTTTAAAATCAGCAAATTATCACAATTGAGAAGAGAATATTATATTTGGCCTTATTATATTAATATGTGATTTAAATCATTAATGTATTTGCAAAATTGGCCATTTGCTTTCATGAGAAATCTCTCTGATAATGTTGTAATAACTGTAATGACATTTATGTTTCTGAGCAACAAAGCATACCAATAGTTTTTTTTATTGAAAGACATCTCATCAGCTTAATAAAAACGTGTGTGTTGCATGGTTTCAGTCTATGGTGAAAGTGCCGGATTTTCAACAAAATCAGAAAACGATGAACAATGATGAACATATCGGTTATAACTGAACAACAGTGTCAGACCTAACAAGATCTGTTGGTCCCTACAATGAAAAGACAGGAGGGCGATGAGAAGTAGAAAAGGCGTGCCAAGTTGGCTGGGAACCTCGGCAGTGAGCTTTACCCACAACCCTTCACCCCACCACCAGCGCTCACTGGGACAAACAACCTTTGTGGCTTCTCTCTCTTCATTTAGACAAATGCAGAGTGTTTTTTGCTTTTGGGTCTAAGCGGCTTCCCTGACTTCCTTCCTGTCTTAATGCTCTTACTAGTACAATATGCGGGCATACATGGGAAAGTGTGTGGTTTTGTGCGCAGGTTATATGTCCAACTTCAAAATTCAACTTGGACAGGAACATTTTTCTCCGTCAGTGAATACGTTTCAAGGACATCTCTTAATAAGGCCATGAGATACACAATTATTTAAGATCTATACAAGACTTATAATAACTAATCTATGCTAAATATTTTTTCTTTCAATGTAGCA